ACAGCAGTGTCTATATTGTCGATACCTCCAGTTTATAGATAGCCTAGTTTGAGAACACCTCTATATTGCGAGCACCTCTATATTACGGACACCTCRATTTAAGTACGACCACCCTAAATCACAGACGCTCCTTAAATTAATTAAAATGAGTTTATTTGTCATATTAAATATGAAAGTAAATATATACAGTTGTTTTAAGAAATAAAATATAGTGAAGGATATATAAAACTACAGAACCAGGCTTGAAACACTTGGACAGCGAATGTTTCTTCTGCTTCTTGATTAATATTTATATTACATTTCTCTTATAGAATATTCTTGACATTTTAAAGCTGAAGACTGGCACGCCATGTCTTTTGAGTCTTAACTTGAATATGATATAGATAACAGTGTGTGTTTTTTACTGGCTGCTGTCAGTGGTCATTGTATATGTAAATTCTGTTCTATTAACCTTGTATCTTTCAATCCATTAAGAAAGATTAAAATTCAAGAGTGATAATACCCTGTATTCACTATTTTAGATATCTCCCACAATTCCATAGGAACTTTTGCTTATTTTTCAAAGATCAGCATTATTAAAATTCCGTGCATTGATAAAATAATTTGATCACTGGTGTAGGAACACCATTAATAAAAGCATTGATAGATATTAAAATCAAATAAGTTTAAAAAAATTAGTAAATTCTCATATTGTAACAACTACAATTTTGCATGCCAACAGCGCATGCTCTAAAGACTGCAAAGCACCCTGGGGGATCTCAAGTTAATTCAGTGCAGACTTCCGTGTTTGGAACACTTCCAGTAGCYCATTTTCAATGTTCTTGTTAAAAAATTATTACAGACGAAGCAGCGAGAAATATTAAATAATCGTTTATGCCATTTAATTACCTCTTGACCTGTTCTTTTGTCAGTCTTTTGTGCCTGTCCATTGATTACACAAAATATCGAAAATAGGCTACTTTAGTGCAATCTTTGCAGTGAGAATTGTGAACATTCTCTTTACCCACTGAACTTGTACCCTGCTGGCAGAGGGGTTTAAAACTGTCTCTTTAAACTAGTGACAGTAGGATACTGACAATATTTCTCCATTAAGAGATAAGGGGACATTCGGTGTATGTTAAGTAGCAGTGCATCKTTGCAGGTRCACTGACATAGTTGCCTTTCCCTGTRCATCGACATGAGTATTCCTTCTTRTTTTCGTTATTAAATCTTTCTTGTCGTARCACAATGTCTGCGCTKTCAGAAGTGCAAGAATAATGTAAAATCTTTTTTCCCTGGAAAAGAAATGTTTATAGAAGTTAATCATCACGTTGAGGCCATTACGAAAAAACGCCCGGGATATAATCAATATATTCCCCATGCCGACACTTGTTACACCCAGCAGTCGGTCACCAATCGTCTTTTTTCTGCAGCTGTATTTTTAAAACAACTGTTTTTTTAAMTGTTTTGATGGCAAAGCAGTGTTTTTATATAATTATCTGATACCATTTAGTGTAAKTTCACGGATCTGAAACTATAGTGGTATATACACTATGTCATTGCTTAGTTACACGTACCGGTTCCACTACTAYCCTTGCTACTTGAGATGCMSTGTCGGYAGAAGACGTCCCAGTCGATTGTACAACTTTTATGACACACTGCGTCAGATTTCCAGCCCCTGAAGGTCCTTGTGGACCCACTGCTCCTGTAGCTCCTGTATCTCCCTTGTCACCTTTGTCGCCTTTGTCTCCCGTATCACCCTTGTCGCCCTTGTTTCCTGTATCACCCTTACCTCCTGTATCGCCCTTGTCACCTTTATCGCCCTTAGCTCCTGTATCGCCCTTGTCGCCTTTATCGCCCTTAGCTCCTGTATCGCCCTTGTCGCCCTTAGGTCCCTGTAT